TAATTACTAAGAGTCCAAAAAAAGAGGATAATTAGGGCTGTAACAACTAATCGATTAAATCGTTAATGAGAATCGTTGTCAACGATTCTCATCATCGATTAGTTGAAATACGATTAGTTGCTGCCTCTCTGCTCCTCCTTGCTGGTGCTGGCTGCAGTGGTCTGTGTCCCTTTAAATCCCTGCTGCTCTCCCTGCCTGTATCGGTCTCCTGTCTCCTCTTCCCTGGCCCCCTTTCCGCCTCAGCCACTCTCCCCGTGCGACTCGGTCACGCCTACTGTGCCCCTCGGTCACGCCCCCAGTGCGCTCGGTCATGCCCTCTGTGCGCCTCGGTCACGTACCCCCCCTGCCTCGGCTGCTGCACCTTTCCTTTTCGGCAACTAGAGGCTGGGAGCCATACCCAGCCTGCTATTGGGTATTTTAAAATGCAATAGCAGGCTGTCTATTGCACCTTGGTCAAGCCCTCCCCTGCCTCTGCTGCCGTCCCATTCCTCTTTGGCGTCTAGAGGCTGGGAGCCATACCCAGTCTGCTATTTGATATTTTAAAATGCAAAAGCCAATAGCAGGCTGGCTATTGCACCCACCCACTGCCTGCTGTCAATCAACAGAGGAGGACCTGATGGAGAACTTTCTCCTTCAGATCCCTCCTCTGCTGATTCACAGCAGGCAGTGGGCAGGTGCAATGGCCAGCCTGTTATTGGCTATTGCCATTTGAAATATCCAATAACAGGCTAACTATTGCTCCCAGCAATCAAGTAAAAAAATAAATAATAGAATAATAGAAAAAAGTTAAATAAATATAAATTACAAATGCAAACCAAAAAAATAAAGTTAAACTAAAATGAAATTTATTAATATATATAATGTTTGAAAAAGTCATTTTCAGTTTCGGCCTGACAAAGTTTGCTGCAGGTGGTGCATTGCGGTGCCATTCATTTCAATGGATCCTCCCGGCAACAGTGTGATCGCCCGCAATGGAACGTGCAGTACTGCAATGCCCTACGTTCCTGTGCAGTGCACTTTAAAAAAAAAAATTGCATACAATTTTATTCTGAAGTAAACTTTGTCTGTAACGCTGCATTTGTGTATTTTATTTTAAATAAATGACTATAATTTCGTTTTATTTTATCCGATTAATCGAAGTTAATAAGCGGCTAACTAATCCATTATAAAAGTAACCGTTAGCTGCAGCCCTAATGATAATTCAGCACATCAGCACCGTGCCAGGCACCACACTTCTGTACAATGTAGCACAGCGGCTGGTGTGAATGAGCCCTGATACTACACTAAACCTTTCACCCAACCACAATATTAATGCATTTGTTATTTTAGAAAGCCGCAATTTTTGAAAAGCAATGGTAAGAAAAAGCACTCATGGGTTTAGCCAGTCATTTTTTGCATCTTCATTCATCAGGCTCTTTTAACTGGGGGCGTGGCAGGGTGTGTGTCCTTTGCCTATACCCTTTATAGAAGGTGTCCCTCTTTTCATCCCAGCAGTTGGGAGATATGAAAAAGTGCATGAAAACAGTAGAATTTACTGCCCACTTTTTGTTTAAAGTGAACCTGTCATGACTTTTTACCGGGGTGGACAAGTTATTTTGGAATTTAGGGGCCACTGTCCATTGACAACAACTACATTCACGTGTGTGGCTAGTGCGAATGGGGGCTTAAATGTTTTTGATATGGCATACTACACCTTATTACTTTTAGGCATGGGGTAACCTGTACAGGTAAGATACCATTACTGACCTCTTTGTGAAAGCACTAGATGCCTGGACGTCCCTGCATGGAAACATAAGCTAGCCATACACGAGAATCAGACAAATCACTTGATTCCCCCATCATGCTAAAGAGCCTAGATGGAGGAATCTGTCCTGCCAGCTACTGTATTCTAACAACCGTCACCCACAGCTGTCAGAATACCAGAACAGTGACTGCAACAGATTCTTGTTGAGCTGGGTGGTACAAGCAGAACCGCCCATGGATCGAACCAGGGGCGCCCTGAGGCCAGGTGTCACCCGGAGCGGTTTACCGAGTGACACCCGCCGTGACGTCATCGCGCATCCACGGCTATTATATTGATACCTGCCGGCGGCCATCATGGTGATGGACACCAGCAGAGAGAGGAGGAGACGGTCACCCGGCAGGATAAGGTATGCCGCCGGGTCCCCTCCTCTCTCCCGAAACTGATAGGCGCTCATTCCATGACCGAGTGCCTGACTTTTGAGAGTCAGTCATTTTGGTGTCACCACTCCAATGGTGTCACCCGGTTGCGGGCCCCACCCCCCTTGTGATGCCACTGGATCGAACGTCACTATTTAGCAGGAAAGGGCCAAAGTTTGATCTATGTATGGCCAGCTATAGAAGATGAAAGGTAGAAAAAGACCAAGTGGCCCATCAGACATTTGTTTGCCTTTTATTTACAGTTCAAAGAGGAAGTTCACTATTATCTTAAAAATGACAACAAAGTCACCTTTAAGAAATGTAATAGCAATCTACAAACAGATACTTAGAGATAATTGCCGGCTTTTTATTTTTAGCATACCTTATTTTTCTTTTCCTCCCAACAGTGGCGTCACAAGGTGGGTGCAGCCCGCACCTGGGTGACACCTTTGGAGGGGTGACACCAAAATGACTGACAGTCATTTTGGTGTCACCCCCTTTGAAAAGTTGGGCACTCAGTTGTAGACAGAGCCCGACAGTTTCAGGAGAGAGGAGGAGACCCGGCGGCATACCTTATCCCGCCGGGTGAACGTACCCTCATCTCCCAGCCGGCGTCCATCACCAAGATGGCCACCGGCAGGTATCAATCAGATTACTGCGCATGTGTGATGATGTCATCACGCGCACGCGTGATGTTGTCACAGCGGGATGTCACCCGGTATCCACTCCAGACGTCACCCGGCCTCGAGACACCCCTGCCTCCCCATATAACTCATGATGGCCATTTTAACTAAGGGCAGATTAATCCATCTCCCTTTACTTTCTGGAACTCTGTGTCTACCTCCTGGAATATATTGCAGTTTACAGATGAGAATTCCTGGGTAAGCAATGGTCTTGTAACCTTCCCAGAATACATCTTTGAGGCCAGGGCTACATCACCAGTGCCTCACTCAACCGAGAAGTGGGAAAACAGTAATTTTGAGTAAAATAAAAATATGTTTGTTTAACTAATGAATGTAAGATGATGTCACATTAGCATGTAGAGCTGCACACTAAGGCG